AGAGCGCTCCGCCGTCCTCGCGGGTTTTTTTAACCGTACGCTGTCCTTTCCCGTTAAATCCCACTGAATTGCAGATAAGATAACGGAAGTAACTAGTAAGTACGCGATTAAGTTAATATCGACGTTTTCCTGGTAAATTCGTCTTGTGCAGGTGTTTAGAGCGGTGGTCCTCAACCAGCGGTTGGTGGCGTTCAGAAGAAATTAAGAAAAGGCAGGTGTTCTCCGGCGTGTAACTCCTTCAGAGTTGGGTAGGTTGGCAAAGCCTGAGTGAGGAACGTCGGTGGAAGCCGAGCGTGCGCGTGGTTGCAGTTAACTCTCTCTCAGGTGCTCCTACGTGGAGCTCTTGGAGAGGAGATGCCCAGCCAGAGTCCAGCGGGGTCTACCTGCTCCGGTTCAGCGCCCCGTAAACCTGGCCAAGCCACTTCCAGTCCGGCAGATCGATAAGCCTTCCACACAGCAGCGTCCAGATTAAGAAAACTCTGATTTAGCTCCTTGCTTCTGGATCTTAACAGCATTAGAGATCACACCACACGGAAACCTAAGTAACTTTGCGTAGTTGCTCTCATCTAGTAGCTCAGTAGCTCCAAACCAGCACTCCTGTTTCTGTGTTCTTTGGTTCCCTGGAGGGAATAACCCTTGCAGCGCATGCCGCACAGGGTGCTCCCTTTGGAGCCCGTAGGACAGCCTACGAGCCACAGTAAAGGCAGCGTGCAGGACCCGAGCTCGTTTTAGTGGCTTCGCTGAAGTGACTGCACTGCACAGCCTGTAGTATCTTCATAGGTACTACGTAGCTTGAACCGTATGTTGCAGTGAAATATATCCGTATCGTATCCGTGTGTTGCAGGAAGATATCCAGTAATAAATAAATAATTTGATGCTGTATAGATACTTGGGAAGATAAAGGCATTTGGGAAGTGTGCCCTCTACTGTATTTTTTAATACACTTCAGAAAGTACGTCTTTCTAATATCCTACATCTTCTGGGTGCCTCCACAGTATTATCAACATTGTGTTAATTAAATAACTGTTTTAACCTCACAATCAGATAAATTCAGATTAGGCTGAATGCTGTTCAAGTTATGAAAACACTTTAATTAGAGTCCTGCAGTCTGTTTGTACTGGAAAATGAGTCTGTTGTTTTCAGTTCTATTAGCTGGTTTACTTAAAAGTATATCACCTTCTCTACAAAAGGCATTTTTAACCCAGTAATCCTCCTTAATCCCTGCAAGCAGGCCTCTCAGGTGGTGGCTGGGCTTTAGGAGCTTGTTAGTAACTCTCCTTGATTGCTGTTTTTAAAATGAAAGGTGCTTCTCGCCCTGTTATGATCTTGCTTGCTGCACCTTGATTAAGGGGGAGAAAATATGGCCAGAGTCTGCAAGTGGATACAGATGGATGGAGAGCTTGCTGAACTTGTGCAGAACTTGCTGTGTTTTATACTACAAGAGGGGAAAGAAAAATGATTGAGGGCTAATCTTAGGGGAATACATCTCTTCGCTGCAGAAATTCCACTTTGCTCGCTGCATTACATTTGCAGTTTATTGTCTAAACTGTCCCAAAATGAGCAAAGTGGAAAAATCCTTGACATTAAATTATGGGACAGAATGGAAACTAGATATATTGGCTCCTCTGCTGTTGTAGCCAAAACAGAGTAGTAATTCCAAGAGTTGCTGGTTTACCTACTGTTTCCATTTTGGTACGTGTACTGTTGAGGGTTGATTCTGCTTTGCATGGTTGTGGTTTCTGACTGCTGTATTTTGTTTTGATTCTTAACTCTGATACTTGAGCTTGAGCACCAGGCTGAAACTTCTTTTCCAAAGTTAACCTGTGTGAGAGGTTTTTTGGTTTACCTTCAGAGAAAATTGTCTTTATCTGAGCCTCCACTGTTAGCATTGCAGAGGGGCTGTCAGCAGAGAACAGATGGCATCTTCAGTCTACGCAGTGCTGTGTGTTACTAGGTTAGTGTTGAACAGTTGCACAGATGCTTCTTTAGGTTTGTACCGCAGTATACTCGGACATATTGGATCTCACACAATGCATCTTCCTACTGCAAGTGCTTAATATGAACCCCTTTACCCTAGTATCTGAGATTGCGCAGCTGGCCCGTGCTCCTGGGCCCCAACGCTTAGAAACTGTTTCTGTGTGACCTGGCTGCGTCCCAACTCCTTATCACGGCAAGACCCATGCGTATTACTTTTTTTTTCTTTCCCTGTCCTTCATCCCCTCTTTCCAAGGGGAGCATACTTAAGTGCTGAGCCAGCAGGGAGCAACCCTGCTGTGCACAGCCCTGGTCTGCTCAGTCCAGGGACCAAGACTGTTGGATTGATGCTGCTGGATGTAAATTCCACAGAGAGAACGCCTAGCTCCTCTTGCTTTCCCTTGAAAAGGTTTGCCTTTGTAATCCTCTCTCTATTTTCCAGCGCAAATAAGTCAACCCCGGGATTCTAAATATCTGATGTGTTACTGGATTTAAACAAACAAACAAAAAACCCAAACCCAGCGCACCACAGAAAAAAGCCCACAGCCCAAAGCTTTTTTTAATGAGAAATCAACCAAAACAGCAAAAGCTTAGCATATCACAACTTACCTATTTGTTTTTCAAATTCCTTACCTCACCTGTCTTGCATTGGGTAATATATCATTCATGAAATCTGTTGTGCACTTTAAATTTGAAGCTTAAGGGATTTAGAGTATATCCCAAACAATAAGATTCCTTTTATAATGCGGAATGTGTCCCAGGGAAGGCATACCTATGCATGTGTGTAGAGCAACCAAATAGTACCTTGCATTTTAGGGGTGTGCTTGATGTCCCCTTTGACTGGAGGAGGCCAATCCAAGCCCTTGTATAACAATTCTTGCTTTTATCAGCCTGTAGTATTTTGTTAACTCTTGTGTTCGAAAGTGTCATTTTTTTGTTCTTTAAGTTGTTAGCATGGCGAGTCTTGCCTCGGGACTGTTCCTAGGAGAACCTGAAACAATCCTTCTAAAGACTGGCTTCTGTTTGACAGGGATCTGGCAGCATTTGCTTCTCTGTGGTTTCCCCACTCACTGGGAGGGGCAAAATTAATGGGGTAAATACTAATTACTAATTAAGTGTGAGCAAATAGGTCAACTTCGCTATGTGGCTGCTTACTTTGAGTATTCAGAATACGGAGCACGAGGCTGCGAGACTGGGCACAACCTGTGTTCACAGAGCTTTTTTTTTAGTTTTGTTTACAAACTTACTGCTCTCTACTTTAGAGAACATATACCTTATCAAGAAAATAATATTCACAAATGCTGGAAATTAATTGCTTTCTCCTGTGGAGCAGCATAACAACATACTAATATCCACTCTGCAGTTTAAAAGAAGAAATAAGAGGATTCTCTTTCTTACTGGAAATACTTGAACACTGCCCTAAGTAATGTTCCACTGTTTGGTTTATTAAACTGTTTTTACACTACATGCTAGATCACTTGCTTCAGGTAAGTGGACTTTCTGACTGAAGAGTTATAAAGAGAGCTCGTAGTTTTTAGCAATGTATCAGAGCTCCTGAAGTCAAAACTGACTTGGATGTAACTAAGAACAGGTGCTAATCCCTTTCTTTCTCACTAATTCATTTTATGTTTTTCTAAGGCATTTGATTAAAGCAGAGGAGGCATTCATAACATTGTCATCTATATTAAATATATAGGAACAACAAGTTTTACTTTATAAATGCAATTATCTATACTTACTTGTACGTTAAGTTCCAGTTAAGCTTTCCTAAAACTAGCTGATGTTGCTGGCCAAAGGAATTAATTTATTCAGTTTCACTGAAAGAGCATTTTTTGCTTAAAATAGCAACAATCTC